TTTAAATTTTTTAAAATTTAAACTTTTAACAATTATTACAGCTAACGGACAATATTAAATATATTTTTTTTAATTAATCAAAAACCCTTTTTCGAGATTCAAAATTTATCCCTCCAGCAGTACTTATCATTGAAACGTAATTTCCTCGGGTTGTATTTTTTAAATAAATATATTTCTTCAATAAAAATTAGATGAAAAAAAATGATTTTTAACTATTTGTTTTTTCTCCTGTGTAATGAGAAAACCATCGATTCTTTAAATAATCGATGTTTTTTCCTGAGAATCGATTCACAACATCGATGTTTTGTAAAATATTGCCCATCCCTGACCGCGGTTTCCGCGCTTGCCCGCCTTAAATTTTGTACGTAACACGGTCCAAGAAGTATTTTCTCACTATCATCGGGTCGAAAAATTTAAAAACACTTTATTCACCCCGTCACAATATTTATGTGTTACTGAGTGACATTTTCATGTCACCTTGATAAATTAAATTAAATTTATTGCCGCTGTTTTTTTTCCCAATCTTGTTAAGCGCGTTTCGTACTTTTATATTCAAATACTATCGTGATTCAGGATCTCGTACAACGGGAAATACCAAAATGTCTAAGCTGAGGACAAATGGACACCACCATGCTTGTGCTGGGATTCTATGTAGCTGCAACTACGGCTTTCCCTCGTAATCGACCACAATCGATCTCCTTTTAATCCTCCCCCTCTAGCTGCACCTTCATTCATCTTTTTTTCCATGCGTTTTTTCCTCGCACCTACATATCGCACCTACTTATCATCAAAGCAGATAATGAAATCAGAACAGTCAGTGTGTATCCCATTCATTACTATTACGATTGAAAAAAAAAACGAAAAATTGGATTGAAAAAAGATGGCGTAGACCCTGAATAAATATTGACCCAAAACACTTGGCGATGTGTTATTAAAATCGAATTACTCGATCCGATCGATAACGAAACAATTAAATGAAAAATTAATTTAAGAGACCATATACACACGGGAGGAGGCCAGCCCCACTGGATAATCGAATCTCCCTTCTCATTTATTTTTATTTTTATTTTTCATCCTTCGGCCATTGAGGTGGCCGTAACTCACCAGCGGAAAACCGCCAGTCGATGATCGCATCGCGCGCCAGGCGCGCCGAGTAGAAGGAGAGGCTAAAGAAGAAACAAACAAAACACAAAAATTCCGAAAAAAAAATCGTATGAAGACTGAGGGTTTGGGGGCCGCCAGTAGCGACTGAGTCCTTGGGTAAAAGGTGCACCCACATTGACTACATAACACAATGAATATTTTCACATGATACTTCCCAATCAACGCGGAGTTACATCCCTTTTTGCTCCCGAATGGAAACGTTGTAACCGTCCAAATTTAAGTTTTGGATTTTTTGTGTCATATCGACCCATTATGGTCCAAAAAGTCCGAAAATGCCATTTTTAGGTTTTTAGCATTACGGCCGTAATGCCGATTACGGAATCGACTCACAAAATTTAAGTGACGGTATCCGAATTTCAGGAGATTCAGATGAAAATTACGGAACGGTCCGGAAAAATTCCGTGACAAAATTCCGTTGAATTTGAAGCATGAAATATCATGCTTCAAATGAACCCGAGTCAAAATGTTACCGGGTCTCCCGACGTAGTTTCAACGTTTCCGCCGAATTTTCCACCGTACTTTCAATTTATCTCAGCGTGAAGGCCCATGGACGTTGAAAAACACTCAATATCGTTTGTTATCTGTTAACGTACGTTGTAAGTTTCGACGTCCACATTTGATTGTATCAAGGTCATTATTGACGATAATTAAAGAATTCATTACCGTGTTAACGACTCACGTAACTAAATTATTAGTGTTAGTACATTCATAACATTAGTTCGAAGTTCACACAATCGTGCGTCTGAAGGTTGAGTTGGGTCCAACGGTCAGAAGGGTTAGTTGAGTATAAGGATCAATTGAGTATAAGGGTCAGATGAGTATAAGGGTGAGTTGAGTCCAAAAGATTACGCGAATCTAAGGGTCAGATAAATGAAAGCCTCAGTTGAGATTGAATGTCAATTGAGCTTAAAGGTGAGTTGAGCCTAAGGGTCAAAAGAGTACGAAGAGTTATGCGAATCCAAGGATCTGTTTTGTAAGGGTCAGATAATTAAAAATCTCAGTCGAGTTCAACTGTCAGTTGAATTTAAGTGCCAGTTGTGTGTAAGGGTCAAATGAGTCTGAGGGTCAGGTGAGCCAAAGGTCATCTGACTTTTAGATTGAACTGACCCTTAAACTCAACTCAGCCTTTTACTCATCTGACCTTTAGATTTGCCTGACCCTTCGTACTCTTTTGACCCTTAGGCTCAACTGACTCGTAGATTCGCGTGATCCTTTACACTCAACTGACCCTTAAATCCGCCTGACCCTTTGTAGTTGTTTGACCCTTAGACTCAACTGACTCTGATCGCCTGATCCTTCGGACTCAAATAACCCTGAAACCTATTTGACCCTTAAACTCAACTGAGACTTGGATGCGATTGACCTTTAAACTGAACTGAAACTTTTGCGTATCTGACCCTTACTCAACAGACCCTCAAATTCGCATGATCCTTCGGACTCAACTAATGCTTAGACCCATCTGACCCTTAAACTCAACTATCACTGAGACGCATCTAACCTTTAAACTCAACTGAGACTTCTACTTATCTGACCCATACTCAAATGACCCTTATATTCGCCTGACCCTTCGTACCCTTTTGACCCTCAGATTCGTGTGATTCTTCGGACTTGGCTGACCCTTATATCCATCTGGCCCTATGCTGAAGGTTTTACGCTTATTGATAAAAAAAAACCATCTGGCCCTCATACTCATCTGACTCTTAGATTCATTTGACCCTTAAACTCAATTGACCCTTAAACTCAACTGACACTTGAACACAACTGATCCTTAAACTCAACTGAGCCTTTTACTTATCTGACCCTTACTGAACTGACCCTTACTGAACTGACCCTTACATTCGCCTGACCCTTCGTTCTCTTTTGACCCTTAGGTTCAACTGACCCTAATAAGAACACGGTGGATATTGACTGTTTTTCAACGTCCATGGGCCTTCACGTTGAGATAAGTTGAAAGTACGGTGAAAATTCGGCGGAGAATTTGAACATCAAAGTAATGTAGGTTGAAAACGTTGAAACTGCGTCAGGAGACCCGGTAAAATTTTGACTCGGGTTGCCATTTCGCTACTGATTTTATTGAAGGGTTGAGGGAAGAGGGAACTGTAAAAAAGACAATCCCTTATATAGAAGAAAATGGATAATAAGAACAATGATGCTGATAACATTCAACTAAGTTGAGAAGCTGACAAAATTAGGTAAAAGGAAATCTTATTCAATTTAATAAAATAAAGTAAACAATGAATTATGCATGACAGAAGGAAATTATGCACATATTAACCATTCAGAAGCATATCGCTAATTCATTAACAAAAATAACTATACTATATAGAATACAAGAGCAATTTCCCACATGGTTTTTCATCTCCCACCAGAAGTTCGAATAAAGAGCCAAATAATAAAGAAACCTATATTTCTCCCCCGAACTTGATGCATGTGACAAGCATCGGAGCGTGATAAGCTCAATGACAATAACAAATTTCGTTAAGCCGAATTATCCAACAAAAAAGGCATCACAAAGCAACTGTCGATCATTCACCCCCATTGGCATCATATTGAGATTTCCAATCAAACCCCAATCATCTCCTGCATACGATTCGCAATTCATCCATCAGCTTGCTCAGCTTGCGGTCCCCAGAAAAATCCCCTATCCCCACTCCTCATTTCAACACCACACTGTGTACATATACATAATATCACGAATTGAGGGAATAAGAAAGAAAAGGAGCGTAATACCCAGCATCTGCAGTTTCCCCCTCGTACAAGCATAATACAAAAACATCGCCCATGTTTACTTCAATTATCTCGTAATCAGATTAATCACTGGCACTCCAGTGACTACGTAAAATCAATAATATGGGATTAGAGGCGATAACGCGAGTCGTAAATACAAACCCCTTGGCACCATCCGCTGATCTTCATCTTCGTCGCCTCTACGATGTGCTTTAGGGTTCTGGGAGATTGTCCAGTGTAGTATGGTTTCTCTCCAACCCCTCCCGCTTCCCGCTTCGCAGTGTTTTCCAACTACACGCAGTTGTTGTCTCTCTCACTCTTACGTTACGCGTGCGTACGAAGTTACTCTGTTCTTTGGGGTAGAGTGTCCATGGGCTGGCAAGCGTGTACGCCACTGCTACATACAGGCCCGTTGGCTGCTCGAGTCAGTGAGCCTCAGACCGAGCCGGTGAACACATCGGTGGGCTACGGGTTCTCAGTTGACTTTCTTTTGCCATCCGTCAGTCAATCGTTTTTTCAAAATTTTTAAACTATTTTAAATGGTTTATGAATGATTGAAATTAGCAATCACATTTTTTTTAGAAATATCTCTAAAGTGAATTTTATCTAATTGAAATTAATTCAATGGTCGTGATGTGGTGGATTTGGATTGAAGTTTTCCTTCTGAATATGAATGACCAAGTAAAAGCGAATCACTGAATGAAAGAATTTTTTAAATGCCCCAACGTGGTCCTGAATATGTATTTGGTATTGTGACGAATGAGGTGATTCATCGGTTCATTCATAAAAGTTTATCGCAACGGTGATTTCGACGATAGGTAGACGATGTTGTTCGCCGGTACTCTCTGTCAGCGACGCCGGCGTCGCCTGGAGTTCCACCAGCCGCCCACTGTCACCTTCGGTGATAAAGCTAAATATGAAGTCTGAAAAATTCAAACACAAACTCATCATCGTGGTAATTCTTGTGAAGTGATTTCTATTGAAGTGTCACGACGTGTGGGAAGTGTTTTATTTTCTTTCTGGAGCAGAGGATTAAGCTAGTGGTCGCGTGTGCAACCGATTGTTTTGGTTGAGAATAATCCACTGCCGTCGGTTTTACATTCAAGTTTGAGAGGCTATTTATTTCACCAAGAAAATTGCAGAATGGATGACTTGAGTGTGAGTAAACTCTTTATTTACATTCCCCCTTGTTTTCTTACAATTTGTCTCTCACACATTTGAGGAATGGAGGTAAAAAGTCAGTTAAAATATAAAATCAGAGGTTGAGGGAAAAGTGAACATTTCAACATTTTGGGGTACAAGAAAATTAAGAGATTGTAAATTCATCTATCTCGTTATTATCGGCCAGTTCTCCCTCAACTCCCTGAGTACACCGGCGCGACGTTGCGGACAATGAGAGCGAGATTGCTCATTGTTGGTGATAATAACGCGTTGCAGCATAAATCTTCGTTTAACTCGTATTCAAGGAATATCCGTGATTCAACTGTAGTACTCATTCTATTTTCCTTCTTTCCTTCTTTCACTCCAACTCACCTCATAGAGTAACATACACATGTATGTGGGTTACCTTTGGGAACGCAGAAGGGGTAAAATGCACAACTGGCCACGCGGGCTTCGTCACGGATAACGCGCGGTCTTCATTAAACCTAACCTCCTTGCGTGTTCCGCGGCCATTAAGCCGCCCGGGACCGGCCTACAACTAATTTGTACTGTAAATGAGATCCTGGGACCCTCATACCCCTCCCCCCCCTTTATTTCACCTCACCCTTTGCCTTTCATTCCCCTCCGCCCCCCCCCCTCCCGGCGCCCCACGAACCCAATCACTTTGGGAGGACGATCGTGACGTCCAGATCACCCTGAAATTTCGTGATGCACAAGGCCTCATTTCTTTATTAAGCATTATCACAAGATTACATTGATTTTTGAGGTACTTTGAACTCACTGAGAGACTGATTGATGGCATTATGATTTTCTCCTCATTTTATTTCCATTCGATATTGAATTAATTTTCAGTGGGGGATATAAAAGGGGGAAAGAAGTTGTATAAAAACGTGTCGATCCTTTCGATATGTGTAAACGTTGACCAAAACTGGGTAAAGGATTCAGTTTGGAGGATTCGTAAATCTCTGAAAACACTATACAGCAGCCAACGGGCGGCAACACAAATGCGCCCTGAATTCCGATTCGAATCGAAAAACACCGCCGCTACCCCAACTCCCTCTTTTCGTTTATTTATTTAAGTCCTTCGTTTTGGTTTTTTTTATGCGAGTTTCTTTCCGCCTTTCGGTTTCATCGGGTGGCAAGCTGAATTTTTTAAAACTCCCAAAGTTATTCATTTGGTTTTTTCTTCTATTTTTCATTTGTAACGCCCGCAGTTTCCTTCCACACCTTCGACCAGCGTTCCGGTATTTTGTGAATCACCCTAAAGACAAGACAATAGGTAAAAAATATTAAGAATGCATAACACATAACGTGTGATAAATCTATGTCCACGATCTAACACTTGAATCCTCGAGTTTCTTTAATTTTTTTTATTCTTCACTCCGTCACTCTTTTTGTTCCTTCATTTCTAGGTGGTTGTGGTGGAATGTGGGAATCCTTCTATCTACCCATTTTTTTACATTTTTTCGATTTATTTAACGTGTTGCAAACGCGCGGAAGAAACAGAGTAGCCAACGGCGGGGCCTTTTCACCAATGGACATTTATTTAAAACCGCGCCACTACCTTTTCTCTCTATACACACCAAGCGTAGACTGTTTCTCCATGGTTTGTGCTACGCGGTGTTGACACCTCAACGCAGAAAGGAAGAAATATGTAAATGTAGGGGAAAGAGGGAGAGGGTGGGCGGGAAATTTATTTGTTGGATACACACCGGCGACACAGACGCAGTTGTGAATGAAAAAAAAGGATGTATAACCTACGCCCAGGAGAGGCAAAATGGATCAAATTTCGAACGATTTCACCATTTTATTTTTTGCCAAATTCTCTTTTTTTATTGCTATGCCACGTGATTTCGATCATTGAAAAATCTTCTGTTTTCTTTCCATGTGTTCTGAATGTCTATTTTACACTGTTAGAAATTTTTTGAAATTTCTTGGAAGGTATTATAGTAAATCTCATGAGAGTGACATTGAATCGGATTTACAGAAAAAATAGTTATGAAATTTCAAGTTTAAGTAGAGTTCCCGGAAATTCATAAGGTTTCAGTGGGTGCGAGTTGGAAATTTCACAACTTGATTGAATTTTCAATGGAACATGAATATTCAGAAACAAAATGACATGAATTTTCAATTTTTCCCTAAATTTTCCTGATTTTTATGAATTTTCACAGAATAATTGAACTGAAAAATCAAGTATTTTATCGATTTTCAGATCATTTGAACAGAAAATCAATGGAATATTTGATTTTTCAATGATAAGATTTCCTAAAATTTCAGTGGAACTTGAACACGATAAAAATTCCCGGAATTTGGCACGGAAAATTGAAACGAAAATTTTTAACAGTGTATCAGGATTTTTTAATCATTAATGGTTACAATAATTGAAAGAAACTTCAATTCATTAGTATCAAAATTTAGTAACTTTTTATATGAAAGTTTGCCTATTTTTGTTCATGAATTCCTTCCAACGTTTTAATCTCCCAACCATAACATCTTTAATGATTTTCCATGATGAAGAAAAAATTTTATAAGGACACGCGAATTCAGTGGCACTGATCGGTCATTACGAGCTCGGTTAAGGTAGTATATTCATCTCTGGAATATTAAAATGACTGCGTGTGTCGACTCTTAAACATCCTCAGCCGTGTACAATATCGCTTGCACGATACGTAATCACTCTGTGTGTACCCTTAATAGTCGCTGGGGCCGTAGTTGGCGTTTTGACTCCATATATTCCAGCACGGTTACCCATCCCTAATGACCTGAGTATTAATAAAAACATTGCGGGGTTGGAAGGAAAAAGGGATAAAATTTAAATTCTCATTTAATAATTTTTTACATTCCCCCGGCGTTGCGAAATGAGTGCATCGCGATAATCCTCGTTGATTACTCACTCTTTCAGCTTTAATCGCATCCAAAAGTACTGATGATCGTAATAAAAATTAAATGAAAAAAAAACGTTAATTCCCTCATCCCTTTTATCCTCTTTATTCATTAAGGATTAATTAAAAAATGATTATGATCAATTTTAAATAATGAACCTTGAATGTTTTCTTTTACTCTCGATCCTGTTTGCAATTTGTAATTGGCCGCTCACAGCTTCTCTCACCGCCAATGCGATGAAATTATTGACTCTATCAAGTATGAAATTAAGACGTAAAATCTCATGCTCTGTGTAATCTTGCCTTTTACCGTGAAGTTCACATGCACACAAATACCTTGTGTTTCTTACTGCTGTGGCGGCCGAACGCTGTAAAAAACACCGCAGTGGACGCGGTTCAGCGACGATCGATTCAACCGCGAAAAGAAATAAATAAAAAAGAGGGCGAGGTGAAAAACGAGTGAGAAATATAATCAAGTCACGCTTCATTCAAGTGTGTAAATATCCAAATAGAGGAATTTAAAGCACGGAATATGATTGATTAAGGGAGGGTGGGGCAATAGGGATCTCTGGGGTAAAACGAACACTCGAAAAATTGGCGAAAAAAACGTTTTTTTCAATTCAAATTTTTTAAAATTGGTTCATTGGGCAATATGGACACCTGATGAATCCACGTAGGATAGACTAAAATGGGCGCTCAAAAAATTAAAAAAAAAAATTCAATATTTTAATTTTTTTAAATTGCTTTTTGGCAAAGTCCACAGCCGAAAAATTAGGCACGAGTGGGATAAAATGGACACCCGAAAAAGTTTGTCCTATTCAGCTTTTAATCAAGAAAATTTTCAACAGAGTCGTGTCGATATCTTTTTATGGAGAGAAATTAGAGTTGGAAGAGATATTAACAAATAAACTTCAACTCTATTAAATTTTACACTGAAGTTTGAAATGTAGAGTAGCTTCGGATTTCCTGTTTTACTATTGAAATAACTTTGAAATTATTCGTTTTCTTCAATGAACAATTACACGCCTTGCACAATAACTGACCTTTTGTCCATTTGCAAAATTTGTAAGATGGCTATTTTCCTACTCACAAAGGAAAAAACCATTAAAAAATGGGAGGAGGGAGGATAAATGGGCAAAGAAAAATTTGGTTTACCATCCCCCACGACAAAAGTCAAAAATGATTTTTTTTTTATTTGAAAATCGCAGTCATGACTATAGCATTTCAGAAATTGAATAATATTGTTGAAATATAAAAATTGAGGAAGAAATCGAAGTTTCCATTCTACCCCGTTTTTGCTTTACCTTATAACTCCTGATTTGATCGAAATCAACTCATTATTTAAATCTGGTGTCCATATTGCCCCACCCTCTTCCATTTCGTCTGAAAATTGTGGGAGTAGAATAAAATTTTGAAATTTTTGGAAAATGAATGAACTCAAAATATCGTTGACAATAAACATCTATTATACATGGACAAGATGTTATGCTGTTTTGAAATAGAGGACTTTCAATTAATTTGTAGTGAAGCATGAGAGAAAAAAATGATTTCTTAATTTATAAAAATGTAGTTGACTTAGATTTCGAGAATTTTCCCCCGATATTCAAGGTCAAATCTATAAATAAATCTTAGTACTTTCTCCCCATATATTTCACGTCAATTCTCCTCGAAATATTTCACCTAAAATTATGCAAATTACGCTTAAAAATTTTCTGAAATAAATTGCTTGTAAAATATCTCGCCATGTAATCAGCAATTATTCGTTATGGGACGTTAGAAATTCAACTTAATTAACCTTCCGATCAGAAGCTAATTGCTCGCAACTAGGAAGCGATACTCACCGATGTGGGGGTATATGCGCCTTTATTCGTGATTACCATCGCCACATTGCTGACGGGGGCTATATATGTGGGCCTTCTCGTCCACCGTCCATCCCAAGCGAATAAGGAACCACACACTACATAAACTCCCAAGCACATCATCTACTGCACTCCCAGGAGATCGCCATGAGCAATGCGCTAGTCACTCATATACGTGGAACCCACTCTACTCTTTGCTCAAGAGTTTGTTGATGGTAACGATGGAGGAGTGTGCACATTCCTGCCACGTTTATTA